TGTTGGGCCAAAGAGTGAAAAAATTTAATACAATTCTCCTGATATATTGTTACAATATCAGTTGAAAAATATTAAAAATACATAGGCACAGTTTTTTTGTATAAGCATTTGAAGATCGAATTTTGACAAAATTTATCAAAATCTTGAAAATTATCAATCATTGTAATTAATAAATTATAAAATGTTCAGTTTTTATAGCTAAGGAATTGTAGTTTAATGTTTATATGAACACAATTATTTTTTACAGACATTTTAAATTCAAATTTGGACGAAATCACATATTAAAAAACCTAGAATAACTATTTTAGTTATTTTGTTGTGATTAAATAATGTTATTCGTGAGTACTTGAAACTTCTAAAGTGTACTATTATATATCTTATATATCATGGTAATACGAATATATATCGTATATATCTATTTGGTAAAAAAGCTTAATATATTGTTACAATGGCGTTTGCAAAATATTAGAAATTCAGTTAATATTTTTTTTTATAAGCATTTAAAGTTCAAATCTTGACAAATTACGTACAAATCATGAAAATGTGATTTACGATGGATATTGTTGTTTATAAATAGTTGCTATTGGTTATAGGAGAAAAAATTAGTAGAAATAATCATTTTTTTTGTATATTGGTTGCCATTGGTTAATCGGGAAGATCCAGTACAAGCATGCATCAAAATAATTTTCGCACATTGCCTACCATGGTGGCAGAGTAGTGAGTTGCACTTACTGCAGCGAGCTACAAACAAAAGGAGTTGAACAAACACAATTTTTTTAAAGTTTTCATTTTTTATGAGCAACGGATTACGTAGGATCGACTAGTTTTATTATATTCAAAAAATATATAAATCATTAATTAATAAATTAAGCGTATGACAAGCTGTGTACGATCAACTACTGACCGACACAATAATATATTAATACACACTACGACTACTGGACTCCGTATGACTACGATACAGTTACATATTATATAGTAGAACATTGTTTGCAGTGGCGTATTTACGGGGGGGGTCCCCGGGTCTGGACCCCCCCCCCAGAAAAAAATATAATATAATATAATTATTACATCGTAACTCGTATGTGTTTTTTTTATATTATAAACTTGTAGGTACCTAATATTTAGACCCCCCCCCCACAAAAAATTTCAAAATACGCCACTGATTGTTTGCATATTATTAATTGTGAGTATGATTATTTGTAAGTTTTTAATAGGCAATGAAAGATAATTATAACTGAAATGGAATCCTAGTCATTTAAATATATTTAAGATTCTGAGATCTACATATCTGCCTCTGGCTATGGTATTTGTAGGATCCAACGATTCTCCCTGGATATCTTATATTTAACTGGACGTTCCCTCGACCATGTTATAGTGGAACTTTGGTAATTCTACTATAAACACAGAGAGAGCAAAAAAGTTTTTGCTATGTATTGTACATTTATATAAACGGACTACGGAGATAACACATTATATGGGTGTGACGTCCACTTATGAAAAATCAGATTTATTTATAGTATTTTAATCGTTAATAACATTGTAGTTTAAGAAGCCCGCCAGAAATATGACATACCTGCAGAATACCTTCACGGCATCCATGGTCCTAATGAAAAGATTATACCATAAGACAAGTGGTATTTCATTTATTCACCAAACATATTATATCTAAACATACTACTACATACAATTTAGTTGAGGTAGGTTTAATCAACAAATACTAACAGAAAAAAATCATATAATAATTTAAAAAAAATACAAGTCAATGATTTAGATACCGACGCTTTAACACTAATAAAAGTATAAAATATTTTAATTTATTGTATTTACGATACATACATTCGATTGGATTATTTCCATAACAGGCTTAAAATGTTATATTTTTACGTAATAATAGAACTGTGTGGAAGTACAGCAGAAAAATGTTATGTATAGCATAATAAATCAGTTAAACCATTTCAGGTCTCAAACTACAAATTAGGGCAGTATTGTGTGCGTGTCGCCTAACAGAAAATTTCATTGAGTCTAATTAAATAATATGGTATAATGGTATATACATCATACCTACCTGTGTATTTTTATTTTTTTGGTAGTGCTAGACGTACTAAAAGGGTCACATTTCATAGAAATAATAAGGTATAGGTACCTCGTTTTTACATTGCACGCATTTATATTTTTATAAGTACCTATATTATTATAACATACCCTTTTTTTGATTCAAATTTATACGTTACTAACATTGAGGTTGAGCAATTGAGCTTATAATAATAATATTATTTATATGAAGCCAGTAGAGTCACCTGAAATGGCCCGAACCAACAAAGGCCAGCAGGTTATCAAACTTTGAAAACGATATAAATGTGTAAAATATCAAAAAATTCTCGATGCGAGTCTGGAACACCTCGTACAGTTAGATTATGATATACTATATTATATACATTACTCCGTGATTGTTGTCGATCATTATAAATACTATGATATGATACAGTGGTAAACTGGTAAACAGTGTAAAATAAAACCAAGTCATAACACGTATAATTTGACAATCGCCTCGGCAGTTCGTGTACTTGGATGTGTTTATATAGGTGGTTTTTTTTGTGTAGACGAATTGCGTGAGTTAGATTAGGTACTGAAATAAAATAGTAGGTACATCATATATTATCGAACCAGCTAGTTGTATATTTGGAAGAAAACTTAATTATATCTACCGAAATAAATTGGTTAAATACATTGATGGGTATAATTTAAAAAAAAATTAAATATTTTGGGAACTTAAACATACGTATATTATATATATTATGTTTAATGTAGGTAATACATCGTAAAATACTCGAATTAATATATTATTTATCGGCTAATTAGGACATAATGTTATACTACATAAGTATACCGTATATACGTACCTATAATGTAATGGAGTAGTGGTTTCCCATTATGCTTGAACTTTGTTTACGGGTCCCGCAGACGAGTTTAAATTAAAATCAGTATGTTCGTTCATATAATATACGAAAATATTATTTTTTCTCTTGCGTGACGTGTATAAAATATATGGTCAAAAATAAACGGCCGCGACGAAGAAATGTTTCCTTAATCTATCATTTAAAATAAAACACAATTCGTGTGTATAATATAAGTGTGTAATATATCGTATTAAACAGGACTAGTTATTAATTTAATACCTGTAATAATATATTTAAATCACAATCCCTATTTTTGTTGTATAATAATATTATACTGAAGAAAGAACATTGATCCAATAAGTGTAGCTATTACTTTTTATACGAGCAATTAAAGTTTAGATACAAATTAATTGAAAATACTGAGATTTTATTTTAGGGTTAAGAGTATGACTGTATATGAGAATATATTTTAAGAAAACATCCACTACTATAGGTTTTTTTTTTTTGCTTGGTTTTACGTATTCTGTTTTGGTTCAGACTGCCTCCAGAAAGTTTGAAGTTGTATTCTGTATCGTCTTATTGATGACGATCCAATTAACCGCTGTGATTATGTTTTGAAAAAATGTGTTTGAATGGCATCAAATTATTCCATTTGTGATAAAAATATTGGATACCCAGATTGGTGAAGTATATGGGTAAATCCCTCAAAAAGCTGCAGGATTCGTTGAATATAGATCGTGTATAGCTATATTTTTGTTTATAAGCAGAAAGTGCTTTTGAAATTTAACAGCGGATATTATAATGAGTATCTTAAGGCCTTTGCTTTGTTAGTGATTGATTAATTATTGCACCTTAGAAAAATTTAGGTATTATTCTACGTGAAAGCCTTACCTCATCACGGCTCACCGACCTATTGCTAGTCTATATTTCTACAATAACATTTATAATTTATAAATTACTTCAAGAATCAATACAGATTTATCAACTCAACCATTATTGTATATTATTATAAAGAATATTAACTTTAACTACCTACAGTAAACATGGTATTATATTGGGTGTGACTGCCAATATTAATGTTATGTAGTTGGGGTGCGGTGTATACTGTTCTTGTAAGTTGTAGGAAGGCTCACGGAAGCCACGAGTAAGAAGCAGTAAACGATTTGAACAACGCGAACACGAGATTAATTCATACGAAGTTTCAACGGTCTATACATATATTATAATCGGCGATTTGAGTAAATTAGATGAAAGGGTATAAGTTATAACATGTTCTCGAATAGGTTCTAAATGGATGGAATGGTATATTATAGAACATTAGTATTTAGTGCGTAATGCGCATACATAATATAGGTAGTTGAGTTGTGCAAGAGATTTACACAAAGTTGTGTGCTGAAATTACATGTACAACAGCCTTCATATAATTTTCGATTCCAGTCATATTGAGTAGGTTTTGACATATTGACATATTATTTTAAATGCCTTAAAATTAGTCTGATCATGATTTTCGGTTGTGCGCACTTTACATCAAAATGCTATCACTATAAAGACTATGTGTGATGAAAATTATTTAGTCTTTATTAATGTTGATATTACTCGTTTACATCATATAATAAATAACAACACAAGAAATTCGACATACCCGAGCACCCTTACGATGCACTGCAGGGCACTGATGAAGATTCCATTACAAAAAAACTTAATTATTTAAGAAAGATATTAAATTGTACAGTTTAGTAAAGTAATTTGAGTATGTATAAATACCAGCCAACTGTCAGTATATTTTCTAATTACAAATTTAGATCAATAATCTACATGACCTGCAGATGTCTTGGTAAGTGGCGGCGCGAGGTAAAATTTATATGTGGGCGAAGTAGACTTAAAGAGGCCCTTTTTTTTAAATTTTTTAATAAACATTTAAGTAACAATAGTTATTTAATAAATATTAAGATTTACAATTTTTTAAAACAATAAACTCTAATAAATTATTAACCTTTTATTTGCAAAGTAGTTAATATAATTTTATTTATACATAATTATAAAATTAAATACATATTTTTTTAAATTAATAATACTGTTAGAAGTTTCATTTTTTTTTATCTACAAGAAATGGACTTTTCGGCTTTTTGCTTCACTAAATGTTTTAAGTATATCTTCGTAATTTAAATTATTTGCAATTTTCGTTTCAATGGACAAAACTGCTAATGCTGAGAGTCTTTCCTGTGTCATCGTATTTCGTAGGTAATTTTTAATTATTTTAAGCTTCGAAAAACTTCTCTCTGCTGAAGCTGTACTGACAGGAATAGTGAGCATAATTCTGACTGTTATATAAACATTTGGATATATTTCTTGTAAATTATTTTCTATTATGTATTTGATGAGTTGTTTTGCATCCTTAATAAAGTCTGGTAGACTTGAAATTATGAGTTGTAATTCTTCGTATAATTCAAATGATTGAATGTCGCTCTTTTCACCCTCTTGAAGAACTGTACCTAAATCACAACAATGCTTATAAAGATCTTCTTTGGAAATGGATCTTAAAATATTCATATCATAAATAAAACCAAAATATTCAAAGTATTCATTCAATGATTTAAATCTCCATTTAATGTCATGTAGAATTCCATCAATCATGCTGTTAAAAAAGTCAACTCTAAACTTTTCTTCACCATTCTCTATAGGTTCATCAGTGTGTTCATAACTAAACATTTTTTTCTTCTTTGCTATTCTCTTGTTTTTAAAATGTAATTCTATTTCATAACTACTTTTTTCTATGAACTGACGAGATTCTATAATACTTTTATTGAATCCTATATCACGATATTCTTGAATCCAATTGCAAAAATTATTTAAAGAATCAACAGCCATTTTTAAATTAACTTGAACTGATTGCCAGATTTTACTTATATTATTTACACGAAGTAAAATTTCATACCACACATGTATTGCAACAATAAATTCAAATGTTAACATTTCTTTTAAAATGGCTTCACAATCACATAGAGTTTCTGCGTCTACTATTTGCATTTTAAGTATATTTATACAATCAATGATATCGTCAAATTGAAATAATATTGCTTTGACTGCAGCAATTCTACTTTCCCACCTTGTTTCAGATAAAGACATTAATGTTAGTTTTAATTTATCTTTTATAAGATCCCATCGCTTACTAGATTTTGAAAAGAGCAAATAAATTTTTTGAATAAAGCCAAAAAATGTTTTAGCTGTAATGGAAGACTTAGCAGCATCTACTAAAATCAAATTCCAGCTGTGACAACCACAAGGTGCAAAGAATGCTTTTGGATTAATATTTAATATTCGTGTTTTAACACCCTTGTTTATTCCTACCATATTCGCGCCATTATCAAAACCTTGTCCACGACAGTCCTGAATATCTAAACCATTATTTTTTAGCTCATGTAGAATAATGTTTGTTAAATGTTCCCCTGTTGTGGAATCAACAGCAATAAATCCAATAAAATGTTCTTCTATATCACCGGTTGACGTATTACAAAATCTTAAAATAATAGACATCTGTTCAACGCGACTTATGTCTCTAGTGCAGTCGAGCATGAAAGCATAATATTTCACTAGTTTTACTTTACTAATAATTTCTTCAATTACTTTATTAGACATAAGTTTAATTAATTCATTTTGTATATCATGACTCAAATAATGTTGTGCCAGTTGTTTTTCATTAATTAGTTGAAAATGGTTCTGTAATGAATGATCATATTTGGACAATAATTTTAATAAATCAATAAAGTTTCCAGAGTTATTGCTATCATCTAACTTAATTGATTCTCGATGACCTCTAAATGATAGATTATGTGAGGCTAAAAAATTTATTACATTAATTAATTTTTCAAACAAATTGTACCAATGCTTTTGTGATTCACGAATCCGTTTTTCATTTTCTTGATCTATTGTTTTCCCGAGTTTAATTCGTTTGTCAAATTCTACCCATTTAATCATGCACACCATGTGCTCTTGGCTCTTTTCGTGTCTTTGCAAAATTGTACTTAGATGTTTCCAGTCACAACATCCTTCACGAATCATTTGTGTTTGTAAATTAGAAAAAACTGTACACGGAAAACAATATATTTTATCTTGAGATTGAGAATAAACTAGCCATCTGCGATGTTGAGTTTCGACATTACTTAATTTTCTTGTATAGTGGAAGTTAGAAAAATGTCTCTTATTATTGTCTAAAGGATAATTTTCATCGCAAATATCTAGCATCTGTTGAGGACCATGTTGAACTAAATCGTGACGCTGTGAACCTGATAACGGAAACACCCATTTCCCTGGGTCTAAACTCATTAGTGGTTCACTTAAAACAATTTCTTGTTTGTGCATCTCTAAATCGCAAATATTATTTATTACTTCTTTTGTCAATTCTTCATTGTATTTTGAAATTTTATTGGATAAATTTCCTTCATTTAAATCCATTTTGGCATTAGGTTCGTCTAAGTCTGTAGTTGTTGATGTACTGGTTTTGTTTAGAAATTTCATCATACTAGTACTCATAGCTTGGTTCACTTGCATCATTTCAGCTTTTCTCTTTCTTTTGGAAGCACCAGATTCCCATTTCCGACCAGTATCTCTGTCTCTACTAGATCCAGACATGATACCTACATATGGATAGTAGGATAGTTAATTATATTTTAATAATAAATTATTATGTAATATTTATAAAATTATGTATGAGAAGTGTTAAATAAAAATAATATTCGATTACATTTATTTACTAGTTTTTAAAGTTTTAACTAACATTTCCAATACAACATACTAAAATATATTATTTCCATACTTCCCTATTATAAAAAATTATTATTATATATCTATTCTGTCACAATAAATTGTTTTCCATGCTGATTTTCATATTATAATAAAATCATTTTATAACTAATATCATAAATAGAGCTAGGATTTTGGTGACTTTTGCATTTTTTTTTCTTTAAGTGCTATACAATTGTAACCAAAAACTAAATTTGTTTCCTGATATAACAATTTAGAATATGTAATTTTTATTTTGCATTTTTTTGCATTTTTTGCATTTTTTGTGTTCAATGCAATTTATTGCATTTTTAAGGTCATTTTTACGTTCATTTTGTGTATTTTAACTAATTTTTGTTTGTTTTAAACTTTTTTAATGTGTTGTAAAGGTAATCCCAATTAGTACCTATAAGCAATTACCTACCTAGTACTCTAGTCCATTGATATTGAAAAATTAATATAAGAGTAAGTAAGATATAAGATTAAATATCGAACGAACTCAAAACTATATAGGTATACAATATAGTAGTTTTAATAGTAAATATACGACACGTACCTATGTGGTTCTACACCGATCTTAACTATACACAAATACACAATACTGAACAAAAAATATTACGACTAATAATGCCAAAAATTAACAGTAAGAAGCCGTTTACGTAATTTTGTGTGTGAGTGAGGTCATTTTTGCATTTTTTTTAGTGCATTTTTGTGTATTTTTTAAGTCATAAAAATCCTAGCTCTAATCATAAAACAAAAAAAAAAAAAACAATGGAAAATGTAAACACAATTAATAAAGTTTTATACTTACAACTTAGGTACGTGTGGTATGATTTTTGCTTCGTTAAATATTATTAAATTGAATATAATTTTCGGTAATCGATCGATACAGAAATGAGGATAAAACACAACCAATTGAACTAACAACAACTGTCAAAATGAAATTACGTTATCGAGTTTAGATAAAATCGGTTCGCCGAATCGGTCAGTCTGGCCCCGATAACGCGGTTTATATGTTAATTATAGAATAGTCGCGGTCGTTTGCCGATCGGCAACCGACAAAACGCATAGTGTGATCTGGTACTTTTAGTAATGACTAAATATGACGAAATATAACATTTATGTTTATGATTTTTTTTTTTACAATAAAATAATTTCATGGATACAAAATTTTTTGTATAGATACTTCTCCCATATTTTTCTATGGTTAATTATAAGTCCCTTTGGAACGCGAGGCCCTTTGAGGTGCGAGGCCGTGGGCAATGGCCCACTTCGCCCACGCCTAGCGCCGCCACTGTCTTGGTTAGATATACTAACTAAATGTATTTTAGTCTACCCTTTGTAACCTAACCTTTGCATGTATACTAAAACTGTAAACTATGTTGTAACTATTTATCGTGACTATAACAAAACTTTCATTGGTACAAAACTGATATAAAAAAAAACATAACGATAATTACTATAACATGTTGCAAAAGCTGCAGTGTTTCTTTATCAGAACATTTTATAATTTTTTTTTTTTCAAACGGTTTGAAAAAAATGAGTACCTTACATACTACCTACTTAATAGTATAAGTACCATATTATAATCTATGAATTACGAATTTATAAACAACATTTTACTTCAAAGATAAGAGAATAATTCTCAAAAGTCTTATTAGTGAACCCAACAGTAGGTTATACTGTAGCTAGGTACTAGTTTTTATCATACCTTGTAATGTATACTTATTACTTCTTGAAAACATTATATAATTATAAATGACAATTTTATAGAATATTTTGTATTTTCGGACTTAGTCGTCCGAGTGAGTCTATAGTTATATTATCCTGCTAATTTAAATAAATATGTACACAGTCATAAATACACATAATATTATGATATTATTTATTCACAAATTGAGTTTACTGTAATTATAATTTTACTCATTACGACGAATAAGCTTTTTAAATATTGAAATAATTATTATTAAATTAGTATTTATATTATTATCATGTAAATTATTATAATGTGTAAAACCACATATTATGTAATGTCTATACATTCAAACAGTATACAGCGATACATAATTTAATACAATTAATATACAATACTTACATAATATTATAGATGTACAAAATGGTATACAGATGCTGAATACGTACAAATATTATGCTAGATATTTAATATTTTATTACACATCACAACTCATACGATCAACTGCGAAAAAGTTTTACTTCCCCTGCACGAAGGTACTACAAACACACTCTATTTTTTTTTTATTTATTCTTTCAAAAAAATAATGGGCCCCACTGACTGGTTTTAAAAAAAACATTACAAATATTGTAACTATGGGCAGCGTATAACTGTTTAGTTCTTATTAAATCAGTAAATATATTTTTACATCATTCTCTGATTGATTATAACACAGTGTAAAATTGTCTTATATATTTTTATTATTATTGACCTTGTTCTATATCAGATTATCATTATGTCTTATATAACAGAAGTGAATAATTCGTCCGAAGCCCAAATACAGTCCGCTGTTGAAATAATGAAACAGGTGTTTGACGATCTCCGGCAAAATCGCCCTAAAAGGTTTCAAGACAATGATCTCACCAGTTTAAAACTACATCGACGATATAAATCGTTACCCAACATGCCAATTTCCGCTAGCGAAGACGTTCAGATCGATTTGCAGTCCTCAACAGCTTTGATGATGCAAGTTTTCAGTGATCTACGTGAAAATCGTCAGATAGCGGTCGACGTTAGTAGTGTCAAGATTTCAATGGCTCAAAAATTATGTAAATCGATGCCCGATATGGCATTCCTAACAAATGCCGAAGTTGATGCACCTGATGCTATGCCGTCCACGGAAATTACCGTTTCGCTGGATTCATTGTATGCGGAAACAACTACCTAACAGTGCAGTAATGAAACCCGTCGCTGCAGAACTTATCGACATCGACACGATGTTGTCCGTCTCGACAACTTTCCCACTGGTTAAGCCGGTCGAATCCGACCCTCAACTGTTAAGTCCAATACAGAAAGTGGCACCACCGTCAACAGAGTCGAAAAATGGTTTGACAAAACCTTTGGACCTGGAGACCGCCAGTTTACAGGAAATTGTATCACTTTGCGGCCATGGAGATGCTGCAGAAATGGAAACTACAGTAACAGCCGCCAGACCTAAACGTCGCTCACTATGGAGCCGAGTGAAGAGATTCGCTCTGCGAATGGTTTGCTGTGGAGCTAACAGCGACATACACCATTAGGTGTATAAATAGTTTTTTGAGGAGTGTTTGGGCACTGGTTTGAAAGTTTGTTTAGTTTGCCCCCTCACTTATCACGTTTATGGCGCCAGTGTAGTAAGTCACCGTGCACGATCATCCCGAGTTCGCTCCAAGAGTTTGTGTCCGGCTATATACATATATAAAACATATATAAATATTGCTATAAAACCGTAATCGTGTATACATTAACACTAATAAACGTTTATGCTTTGTAATTTATTTGGTTTTTATTTTATATCATTATTAAGCGTCGACACGCTGGTGTAAATTTAATTTATGTGACTGGTGGAAATCGTGTTTATTTATTGTAGGTACTGGTAGAATTTGGGTTTGTTGTAACTGGTGTATAAATCACACGAGGGACCTTGTATTGAATGCTTAGACTCTTTGACTGATAACCAAAACATTTTATCAACAGTAAGTTGAATTATTATCATTATAATATTATTGTATCATTGTATCATTGTATCATTTAATATCATTGTAATATTATTATTAGATTCTGAGCGGAGCGCGGAAGCCGGTGGTTTTACATTGATGTTTATTTTTTTTTTTTTTTATTCTGTATACAACATATTCTACCAGAAGGAGTGCTTCGATTTAAACATAATATAGTATCTTATCTTTTAGAAAATTGGATCAAGATTGTACTTAAGAGTCGTAATTTTTCGACTTTCTCAATAGTTATTTAATGAAACAGGAAAAACCACCGATAAATTACGAAAAACCGCTACAAACGGGGTTTTAACTTCTAATGCTTTGCTTATCACCATGGAAACGAATAAAAAAAAATAAAAAAGTGGGTAAGTGGATGTCACTCTGCTGTACAGTAGGTTACAAGTGGATCAATGTATAAAGGATTGTAATTTGTATTAAACTTGAATTCAATGATATAATATTATTGTATAGGAAAAAAGATTCTGAGCGAAGACGGTTTGTAAGTTTGGATATTGTTATTATTAATTATTATATCCTGTAAGTTGAATTTATATTATAATAGGTATTATTAATTTTTATTCTTTTCTATTTTGATAAACAAAGCGTTAAAAATTAAAATACCATTTTTAGCGGTTTTTCATAATTTGTCGGTGGTTTTTCCTGTGGCATTAAATAACTATTGAGAAAATCGAAATATTACGTTTATAAAGTACCATCTTGACCCAATTTGCTAAAAGATAAGGTACTATATGTTGATTCCAAAAGCACTCCTTCTGGTAGATATTTTGTATACAGGATATAAAAAAAAAAATAAAGTAAACACCATTGTAAAACCAGTAACAACTTCCTCGCTCCGCTCAGAATCTAATAACTATTTTAGTTATTTTGTTGTAATTTATAATATTAGTTCAATTAACCAGGTATAATTAATAATAACATTGTAAAATACAAAGACTGACATACCGTCTCCGCTCAGAATCGTTTTTCTTATACAATGATATTATATCGTTGAATTCAAATTTAATATCATCCATTATACAGTGACCCACTTGTAACCTACTGTACAGCAGAGCGACACCCACTTGCCCACCTTTTTTTTTTTTAATAGTTCTACAAGTAAAATTTACATTTATTTTAAATTA